CTGCTGCTGCTGCTGCTGCTGCTGCTGCTGCTGCTGCTGCTGCTGCTGCTGCTGCTGCAGACAAGCAAATGCGCCCTGTGCTGCAGCTGGCAGAAAGCGGCGACTACCAACTAGCATGCAAAGAGTACTACACACAGACACACACTGGAAGCTCAGGTACCTGCTGCTGCTGCTGCTGCTTCTGCTGCTGCTGCTGCTTCTGCTGCTGCTGCTGCTGCTGCTGCTGCCATTACTCCTCCTGGTGCTGCGGTGGTTGCTTTTGCTGTGCTCCTGTTGCTTGTCCCGCTGCTGTTTAACAGCTGCTGCTGCTGCTGCTCGTGCAACTGTTGCTGCTGCTGCTGCTCGTGCTGCTGCAGGTGACGACGTGGGGAACCACCCGAATGCATTCTTTGCTGCTTCGCGCCGCTACTTCGCAGCAGCAGCAGGGGCTGCTGCTGCTGCTGCTGCTAAAGGGCAGCAGCCTGCTGCAGCAGCAGCAGAAGCAGCCTCGCAAGACAGTGACATGCCCCCGTAAATCCCGTAGCCTGGCCCCTCCTGCAGCAGCTGCTGTCGCTGCTGCTATTGCAGCTGCTGTTGCTGCTGCTGTTGCAGCTGCGGCCGCAGCAACAGCAGCTGCAGCAGTGAGTCCAGCAGCTGCAATTGCAGTGACTGCAGGTACTACAACAAGAGTGGCAGCAGCAGCTGCTGCAGCAAACAGCAGCAGCAAAATCTCTCCTTGCTGGTTCGCAGCCTAAACTGCAGCGGCAGCAGCAGCAGCAGCAGCAAACCTCGCAGTGCTTTGGTGGCTAGCTAGGCCAGAGGCAGCTAGCTAGCTGCGGAGCCAGGCAGCTAGCTATAAATCTACTTAAAAAGAGCAGGCACAATGTTCGATCACTGACAACGCAGCTAGCCGAAGCAAGCAGCTAGCTAGCTAGCTAGCCAGCTAGCTAGCCAGCTAGCTAGCTAGCTAGCTGGCTAGCCAGCTGGGACCCCTCACTGGGGTCACTAGGCCTGCGGCTACAGCTGCAGCAAGTTCCGGCGGGGCCCACCGCCAAACGAAACATTCAGCTGGCTAGCTAGCTAGCTAGCTAGCTAGCCAGCCCAGTAGCCAGCTAGCTAGCCAGCTAGCTAGCTAGCCAGCTGACTGGTGACGAGCAGACTGGGGCAGCAAATTGTTTTTCACGAAACAAACGAAGAGGCAGTGGCGGCAGATGGCCCTCATCTCCCAGCTAGCTAGCTAGCTAGCTAGCTAGCTAGCTAGTTAGCTAGCTAGGGAGAGGAGTGGCTGGCCAGCTAGCTAGCTAGCTAGCTAGCGAGAGATGAAACTCGCCGGCTAGCTAGCTAGCTAGCAGAAGAAGTGGCTGGCTAGCTCCGCTAGCTGGCTAGCTGGCTAGCTACAAAAGTCACTAGCTTGACAGCTAGTTAGCCAGCTAGCTAGCTAGGAGACAGCCAGCTAGCTAGCCAGCTAGCTAGCTAGCTAGCTAGCTAGTAATGAATGAACTTGCGGCTCTTCTCGTCAGCAGCTACTAAGGGGGGCCCCACACCCCCCAGTCTGTAGCCCGCCTTGATTCGGTCTCCAGCTTTCTGCAGCCAAACCCTAAACCCTAAACCCTAAACCCTAAACCCTGGCTGAAGGGTAAGTAAGAGCTAGGGCTGCGAGGGTTTAGGGCTTAGGGCTAGGGTTCGCAATTAGGGTTTAGCGATGAGCGACTGGGTTGGGAATTAGGGTTTAGAGCGCGGGGATGAGGGACAGCGAGGGCTTAGGGTTTAGCGCTGGGGCGTGAAGTTAGGGTTTCGGGTTTAGGGTTTAGGGTTTAGGGTTTACAACGGAGAACTCAAAGTCCTTTGGCGCCTCAAACACCAAGACAATTGTGCTGCCGAGGCGAAACTCTCCTACGTGGGACCCCACGTCGAAGTGCAAGGGTTTGTCTGCAAACAAATTAGGGTTTAGGGTTTAGGGTTTAGGGTTTGGGGGGTGGGATTTGGGGCTGGGGCCCGGCCGCCGCTGGAAGGCCTTCAGCTCTGGATTGCACTCTGACGAGCGCTCTGGCTGCAAGCGTTTAGGGTTTAGGGTTTGGGGCTACGGAGTGGCCACCTGCAAGGGTTTAGGGTTTAGGGTTTAGGGTTTGCCTCTGTATGTTCGGATGTCCACGTCTCCTCCCAAGTGCCTCAGCACCACGCGGTCCTGGTTCGTCCTCAAGTCCTAAAAAGAAACCCTAAACCCTAAACCCTAAACCCTAAACCCTAGATCGCACTGGCTCCGCAGAAGCCAGTGACGGCGAGTGAGGACTTGAGAAGGGTTCAGCGCTGAGGGTTTGCATTTTTGCTAGGGTTAGGGTTAAACACTTTGCTAGGGTTTAGGGTTTACAGGCTCTCTATCGAGAAGATATCCCACAGTGCAAGCAACAACAGCAGCAATATGAAGGCGCTAGGGATAGGGTTAGGGTTAGGGTTTAGGGTTTAGGGTTTAGGGTTTAGGGTTTACAGGTTCTCTATCGAGGCGAATATCTCCCACATTGCAAGCAGCAACAGCAGCAATGTGAAGATCCCCTCCTTTCCAGCAGCCGCTGAGGACAACTCTTTCTTGAACGCTAAATATATCCTGCACAAAACCCTAAACCCTAAACCCTAAACCCTAAACCCTAGGCCCCGGCGCCCGCGCCCGCGCCCTCGCCCTGAAAGCCCTAAACCCTAAACCCTAAACCCTCGCTGCCACCGCCCCGGCCGGCCGCGCGCGCGCGCCG